CAGGATGGCACTGGCCTCATGGAAAGAGCTCAGAAGTGTTCTTTCCTCTGCAATTCTTTGGAATAGTTTGAGAAGGATAGGTGTTAACTCTTCTCTAAATGTTTGGTAAAATTCACCTTAAAGCTGTCTGGTCCTGGACTTTTGCTTAGTTCAAGTTTTTAAGTTACTGATTCAATTTCATTACTGATAATTGGTCTGTTCATATTTTCTATTTCTTCCTGGTTCAGTCTTGGGAGATGGTACCTTTCTAAGAACTTGTCCATTTCTTCTAGGTTGTCCACTTTATTGGCATATAGTTGTTCATAGTAGTAAAGAGCAGTGTTTTAAAATTTCTCTTCTCCTGTACCGTTTTCAATGTTACAACTTTCTGAATTTTAATATATTTCATATTATAGATTTTGATGTAATACAATCAATGCCTTAACATTTATGACTATTATCTACAAATGAGGAATATCTTTATGCCTTCTATTCCCAGTCCTTGCTTTTTTGCCTTTTCTACTTTCTCTGAGTTTTTAAAATATACTTTCATTTATTTCATATATTTTTGCCTACTCTCTTATTTATTAACCGATGAGAAACATTTTTTCTTTAAGTGTGTCTTACAAAAAACATTTACATTTACTATGATTACTAGTATGATGGAGCTACTGTAATCTTTTATAATTTGTATATTTTTGTTTATTCCTTTTCATCCTTTTCTTGTTTTTTGCTGCATTTTTCCTTGGTCTTTCTCTCTCTAGTTACTTAGAAATTTTCCATTCAACTTTTATTCTACTAGTGGACAGATACTTCTTATTTTTAAAATTTCTTAAATGTATTAACTTCAAGAATAAAACCATAGCAACGGACAACTCTATGATAGGTGAAAAATTGAACACACTCTCCTTTGCCACCACCCAGTTTTAAAAATATTTATTTATTTGTTTATGCATTTATTTTATAATATATTTTTAAAAATTTAAGTATAGTTGATGTACAATATTATATGTTACAGGTTTACAAAATAGTAATTCACAATTTAAAAAGTTGTACTCCACTTACGATTGTAAAATATTAGCTATATCTATATGTTGTACACTAATCCTTGTAGCTTGATTTATACCTGACAGTTTGTACCTCGTCCTCCTCCCCCTCCCTCTCGCCACCCCTTCCCTCTCCCCACGGTGACCACTGGCGCCTTCTCTACGGCTGTGAGTCTGTTTCTTTTCTGTTACTTTCATTAGTTGTTGTATTTTTTTAGATTCCACGTGGTAGTGATATCTTACATTATTTGTCTTTCTCTGTCTGACTTACTTCACTGAGCGTAAGTCCATCCATTGCTGTCTACCAGAAACGAATACATTTTAAATCAACGGTACTTCAATTAAAAAGCAAGTAAACAAGCAACCAACCCATTTAAAATACGGGCAGAAGAACTGAACAGACGTTTTCCCAAAAGAGGAAATGCAGATGTCCGAGAGGAACATGAAGATTTGCTCAGCATCATTCACATCAGGGAAATGCAATCAAAATCACAATGAGACGCCATCCCACACCTGTCAGAATGGCCATCAACTACCATCCAGCTTTTGTCAAAGTAATTTATGATATAAAACTCCTAGTTCATAACTATGAAAACTTTATTATATACAATTGTAAGAATTATTTTTATCTCATTTTTCTTGCATTTCATATATTAATCACAACAATTTGGCTTACATAGTTTTATTAGTTCGATTTAATTATTTTTGCCTTTTACAGTATTTTTTTCTTTTAAGTTCTTCACTTTGATTCATTTCTCAGCTGGCAGGAATATTTCCTAAAAATGATATTTTTCAAAAAGACTTTATGGAAAAGACCCCCAGCCTCCCAAAGAAGCCCACAGTGTCCTGTACCAGTTATCAGTTTATTACATTCCAGCTACAGATGCATCTGGAACGTGTCCCCCTTGCCAGCCGGCACAAGTTACGTGCTGCACTCTATCAGCAGAGGGTGCTGGAGGGGCGGGGCAAGGTGAACATCCTCCTGGTTCCCTTGCACTTTCCTTCAGACGTGCTTCTAGGACTCTGACCTCTGGTGAGGCTTACCCCCAGCACGTTTAAGCAGCACTCCTGCTGGCGTATCCATGACTACTTCTGTGGGTGTCCCGCCTGGTTTTCCAGCGGCGAGTTTAGCTGCACCCTCGTGGGTGGATTCCTGACGAAAGGCAGGAGTGACTCAGCCAGTTTGCGGGAAAGTCCAGCTGCAGCGCTCTCCCAAGGAGGCTTCTCAGCAAGTTCTGTTCCCTCAAAACAACCTCCTGGGGAATTTTGTGGGCACCTAGTGGGAAGTTTCCGCTGGCAATCCCAGCCTACAGTTCTCTGCTCATCAGCCTTGAACTCTGACTGTGGACCAGTTCTGTCCAAAGACAACCCAGAGAACTTCTCTGCCATCCAGTAGGCTGCAACCACATGTTCTCCAGCAAGGGCTGAACCCCAGCCTTAGGGGTTCCTCTCCCCTTCTTTGTGTATTTCCCATCAGCCTTAGGAGACTCTTTAACATACCCTTTAATTCCCATTGTGTAGTTAATTCCCTGAAGCTAATTTTTATATCAAAACTTCCCTGTTCAAATGCTTATGTAAGGGAAAGCTGTGGGGAATTTCTTGCCTTATTTACTCAGAATGGAAAAAAACCAATGGAATCTTTTGCTATTAACATTTCTGAGTTTTGCTCTTGTTTCTGGAATCTGTACAGAGCAGGAATCCTGCAAAATTATGACTTGCTGGAAAGGTGCTATGTAGGGCAAGGTCACTGCTGATGGAGCCATAACAGGAAGCCAAGGCAGTTGGAGAAAGGGCTGTCAAGTGTTCCATAAAAATTATGTCCCCTGTGACTTCCGCCCCGTGTCGGTGGACCCACTGTTCTCCTAAGACCCCTTGGCTGGAATCATAGTCCTCTTTCCCTCTTTGGTGCCCTGCACAGGCTCCCTTAGCCACCCTCGCTGCCCCTGCTCTGTCCGGGAGCTGATCATCCAGCCTAGGAGTTCCTCTGCAAATGCTGTCTCCCTTGACCCCATGGGTTCCTGAGTGCCCAGCCTAAACTTCACCTCCCAGAAAGCTTCCCCACCAGCTTGACTCAGTGTTTCTTCCTGTTCTGCCTTCTCCCATTATCTGTGCAGGTCTTAAGGCACTTCCTTAAGTCCGCTCGCCAGGAAATGGGTCTCCCCTACCCTCCTGGGCTGCCTTGATCAAACCCTGTTCAGATCAGCAGAGGAAAAGCACAGTATTTGTGTGGAAATTGCGCCCTCTGTTGGTAAGTGTATATAATGACTGAATTTTTGTCCTCAGCTGTGTAAGGACCCTCACTGTCCAAAGCTGAGAGAATCAAGACAGTCCAGCTGCCCCTCTCTGCTCATCCCACCTTTTTAGGAGGTAAAATTCAATCCACTGACCAGGCCACCAGATTTCTACCCCGTTACCATCATACTAAGAGGTTCTGATGTTAGGCCCCTTAGATAACGATCTGTAACATTTATTGAACACCTGCTATAAGCCAGACATGGGACAAATTTCTTTATCTATATTACATCACTTTATCCTCAGAGAAACTTTATGAGGTAGACACTTGGGTCAGTTTCCCTAAAGGCAGATTTCAGTACGTGCTATCTAGTGAGGAAAACCACTCAGGAGAAAGAGAAGGAAGCAGGCTAAGGCAGGGAGCTACGCGAGGCCACGGTCGCAGCTGCGGCTTAGCCCCCGTGCGGTCCACAGGGAGCTCTCGGGCATGGATTGCGTCAGGGCTAATCCCATCTTGAGGTAACTGGGGCTGGCCTTCCCTACCCCAGTGTCAGGCAATTACTGGCTGTGGACTCCCGAGCAAAGCAGCTCCCATTCAGCTGAGGGAATTTCCTGGGGTGAGGGTATAGCTGTCAGCTGTCAGCACCAGTCTCTACACAGCTGAGGGGTGTGTGCACCAGCCTGGAAAAGGGGGACTTCTGGTTGGGCACAACGTGCCAACAATAGTATTTTTATTTCTACTACACAAATGCAGAATCGTAATATTTTGCATTCGTACGTGCTTGCAGATTTTGGAATGATTTTATATTCAGTATCTCATTCAACGTGGCAATAACCTTGAGAGGTGGTAATTGTCATCACTAGTATATGAACCAGGAGCGTGACAAGGTGGGAGACTTCCTCAAGATCAACCAGCCAGTTAAATACACCTCCACTGTTTGGGAATAGCACCTTCCCAGATACACGGCCAGCTGCTGTGGGTTCTGGCTCAGACCCTCCTCTGTGATGGAAAGGCTCTGATGGTTTACCAGTAGGATCTTACAGCCCTTTTAACTCAAACTTCAACACAGCCCAGGAGCTAGCAACCACCCCTTCTAAGATCGGGTAAGAGAAAATGTACCTCCTTATCAGAAGGGGGCCAGGCCTTGCCGGGCTCATAAAAGTCCTGCAAGATTCCCCCACGAAAGAGGGTGCTCCTAGGGCATTGTTCGCCTGACTCAGCAGGTTCCCTTAGCAAAGTTTTGTTAGAGATGTCCCAGGAGACTGGAGTCTGTCAGAGGAGACTGGGGGCCCCTGGGCTGCCTGAGTGCAACCTTCACCTGCCACAAGGGGTGGCTGTGTGGCAAAACCTGTGGCAGAAAGCTGGGGTTTCCTGGATCTTAGGTCAGGGGTGTCATCTCCACCACTCTCTCAAAGTCCTGGGCTTTGACCCCCAAGGTGCCTCTGGATCCATCAAAGACCCCTGAATTGTCTTTGGATTAAATTAGTATAAAGAGTCGCATTAGGTCCCCTCCTCCCACTCCCACCCCATCACAGCTCCGAGTAATGCTTCACGCCTAAGTGCTGATGGAGGTACAGCAGGAACACATGCAGGGACCCAAGAAACATCACATCATGGTGGGAAAGCGTGGGTTTAAGATCCCATTTTCTGAGGTTCAAATCCCCCACTCCGGCAGTTACTAGGTTAGGTATGTCATCAGAATGACGTACAAATGGAGGTTACAGCAAATCTACACCACCAGCTTTAACAAGGTAGAAGTTTATTTTCCTCTCACTTGACAGCCCAGAGGTAGGAGTCTGGGGCTGGTACGATGTCCCGGTCTCCTTCCAGCTCACTGCTCTGCTGTTCCTAGTGGGTGGACCCCGTCCTCATGGTTCAAGGTGGCACCTACCTACCAAATAGCCAAAAAGGGGGAGGGACAAAGAAGGAGCAGAGAGATGAACACAAGCTGTGTCTTACAGAAGGGTCCTCGGAACTACCATGTGACACTCCACTTGCTTCTCATTTGGCCGGAATTCGGTCCCGTGACCACACCTAACTACACAGGAGGCTGGGAAATGTAGTCTTCTTGCTAGGCAGTCAGATTTCCAGCTAAAACTATGATAAAGTTACTGGGAACCACTAGTAGCTTCTACCAGAAGTCTCCTGACCTCTCTGGGCAGGGGTATAATGCTGTCTTACTGTTAGGCAGTTAGACAAGTGGGGGCACCGGGCAGACGGGCGGAGGAGAGGGAGAAGGGTCCAGAAGATGGTGTTATGCCCGCCTCCTGCATAAAGGGGCTTTACTTCTTCTAAACGAGTACCAGCAAAAACACACAAACCAACCAACCAACAAACAGCAAACAAAAACCCACACACAAAAAAAGGTTAAATTCCAACAGCCACAGCCGCGTGGCAGCTGGAAGGGCCTGGCCGGACGGGGCGCGGTGCTCTCTGTCATGTGATTAACACTGGGGTTCGGGCACTGCCCCCATGGGCCTTTCTGTGCACGCCATGGTAAGGACATGCACAAAAGGGCCAAACATGACCAAGCACTCCTGGGGCAAGGGCCGTCAATCAATCAAAAGATCACTTCTAAGCGAGGGTGCAAGAGAAGGGATCAGAGACCACTAGCTGCCCCCTTGGGTCACCCCGCCTCCCGTTCTTGGAGTGCACTTTTCTTTTCCTAAAGAAATCTTCTAAAACCTTTCGATGCACAACACTCTCTGTCTCCTGTCTGTAATCTTGTCTTTCAGGTAAGAGAAAGACTGGGGTCTTTTCTCTTTTTTGGGGGGGGACATTACCATACGCAAATTGTTGTATTAACTGAAACCTCATATGCAAATCATCTCGCCCAGAGCCTGGTCCGTGCTGTGCACACCCTCCCTTGTTCCTCCTCCCCACTTCCAGGATTCTGGGATGTGTGGCAGTAGGTCAGATCCTCTCAGATGTGGCCAGAGCTCTTGCAGCCAGTGCCTGAGCACTGCCCCCAGCCAGACTCTCAGAGTCAGCCTGCAGCTTACCAGGGCTTTGAGCTGGTCCTCAGAGCACCACCGTCAGCCATGGGCACTCACCCTACCTCCACGCCCACCACTCTGGAGTCTGTAAAAAGAGACGCTCCTCACTCATCTTTCTGATATTGCTACTACTTTTGCCCAAGAGAACCCCTGCCCCAACCACTCACTGGAGCCTCAGACCCGATTCTTGTCCTGGTGCTGGTGGCTGAAGCAGAGGACAGCCCAGGACTTAAGGAAAGATCCCAGATGTACAAAAGCCTGAGGAAAAGCTGAGATGGCTCAGCTTCCCTGAAGAGGGCTTGTGCGCAGGAACCAGCTTCTCACATGCAGCAGTTTCAGATTCTTCCTTCAAAAGAACTTTCTTGTTTGGATCTGAACGCTTCTGTCTTGTGTGTAAATGATCCCCAGGCTAAAGTGAAACAGAACTGTTAACGTATTTTTGATGACTATTAAAAACTCAAGAAAAAAATAAAAGTATGATAAATAAAAAAAAAGAACTTTCTAAGGAAAGAAAAATGCCATATGATCTCCCTTATATGTAGAATCTTAAAAAAAAGATACAAATGAACTACTTATTGTTTATAACTTAGATAAGTGATTTCTTGAATACGTGTAAGCACATTTGACTGTCCTTTATGACTGGATCACTGCATTTTGTTCTTATTTTGTGGTTGGCTTTATTCCTTGGATAACTATGTCAGTTTAAAAAGCTAAAGCTCTAAAAAGCTCTAAACAGTCCTTAGAAACAATAAATAGTACATATATGTAAATTTTAAAAAGGTTTTCTCTCTCGATGAGTTGCTCTTCTTAGAATAAACTTTGTTTACCAAAAAAAAAAAAAGTAGTACTAATCCATTGGCAGATGTGGGAGAGAAGAGAAAATAAAGCACACGTGGTGGTAACAGGAAATGTGAGCGAAGGATATACTGGAGTTCTCTGTTCTGTCCTTGCCCCTTTCCTGTAAGTTTGAGATTGTTTCACAACAAAAAGTCTTAAAAACAAAAAAACAAAAAACTCTCTGAGGCAGAGAAAACCTCTGACCCCCAAGTTGAGAGAACAACCCAGAGCAAGTGACCATTGATAAAAACCTTTCTAGTGGTCGTCTCTTTCTTCTTTAAAATTTGTTCAAATTTTAGATTTTAATAGTTTGCTTCAAAATATATTTCCCTAAATGCTTCTAGTAAAGTTAACACTCCAGCAAGATGTACCATGTCTCTCCTTTCCCTGCTCTTGTCCTTGGCCCAGGGTTCGTGCCCCTCGGAGTCACGGCACAGCCCCCTGCAAACTACAGGCTGTTACACCGACTGACAAATTCGGAAGCTGAGGTGGGGAGGTTACCCAGATTGCCCAAGGCCACGCGGAGAGGAACTGATGGAATCGAGATTCAGCGCCCAGTGCATCTGGCTCTAAATCCTTGTCCTGTAATCATCATGTGAGCAAGTGAGGGTCGCCCGCCACCTACTGATGGGACCTGTTACTAAGGGGATCTCGGTCACACAGGAGAGCTGGCGAGGGGGGGGCACCAGAAGGAAGCCCTCTCCTAGGTGAGGAGACTGAGCTCTGGGGGCCGTGGGCCTTGACCCTGGGAGTTACCACCAAGCCGACCTCGCAAGACGCCTGGAGGCTGGGGAGATGCTGCGAGTAATAGCGTGGGGCCCGCTTGCGGCTCCTTCTCTATTGCCCTGGCCCCGAGGGCAGAGAGCCAGGACCAGGCAGGAGTGGGGAGACCCCTGGCCCTAATCAACAACCCTGGAAAGGGAAAGCAACTTGGTGAGCTGAAGTCGGTAGTGAGGACTGACTTCAGCCTGAAATCCAGGGGTGTCCAGGAGAACTGGGCCCATGGTGGCCCGGGCCCAGGAGAAGTGGGACATCTCAACTTGTGTGTTCTCCAGAAGAGAGAAAGAGGCGCCCCTACTCAGGAGGTCATGTAAGTGTCCCTTATCATGCTGGAGAGGATGAGCATGGAGGAGAGAATGACACCGGAGGTCCTGACAAGGGAGCCCTGACCCAGGCCTGGGCACCCGCTCCCTGCCGGAGACCCCGGCCCGGCCTTCGGAAGTCCTCCAGCTCCGTCTTGTAAACGCAGTGCTGCGCCCTGCTTGGGCAGGGGTGTGACTTCTTGGTAGTCTCCTCCAGCCTGTCTGTCCCACCAGTAGGAGGTCCCCAGTGGAAGGGTGCGACAGTCCCCTTCTCCTGGGCCCCCAGTTCCTACAGCAGGGCCCCCACCCCACTAGGCACTTACTCCACAGGCTGGGCACTTTCTGTGTCACCTGAGGCCACCTGAGGACTGTTCCTACCCTAGAGTCTGAGTGTTCAGATGCGTCACACGTAGCCCAATGGTGTCAGCAGTCCAGGGTCAGCCACTGTCCGGCCAGGGAGATGACATGGTAAGGAGGAGGAGGCCTTGGCCCATGGGGACACAGTGCTGTCCCCCTGCAGGAGTCCCGTGGTCCTTGTGACAGTCGGTGGCCTGTCTGCCTCCTCACAGGGTCTGCAGTGGAGGAGGCTACTTCCGGTGCCAGCTCCAACGTGCTGCGTGACCCTGGGAGAATCACTTAAACTCTCTGACCCTCATCTTCCCTTCCACACTACAGGGAGGTGAATCCTGCCTTTGGGAGAGTGAACGGAGGTAAATCACTCCGGTTCCCTGGAAGAAAAGGAGACAGAGGGAGGCAGGAACTGTTCTCAGGTGTCTCTCTTTCCCTGCTAGAATCCAGTACAGAGATGTTATTTGCTACCACCAAACCTGGTGTGGGTACGCAGGCTCGTCAGCAGGGGGAGCCAGGCCTCTGTTTTGGTCCTTGAACCGCACTGGCTGGGAGGGAACTGGGGTTGGGAAAGTCGGGTCTCTACACATGCGGCTCCAGGCAAGGTGTGTCCTTTGCAGCCCAGAAAAGACACCTGGTCCCCAGAGATCTGAAATAGCTGACTGTGTTTATTTCAAGCCAGTCACTATGTCTCGCTGTCTGACTACCTCTGTGGGTGTGTGTGTGGAACTACATGAGTGCAGAGAAGTCTGGGGGATTGCTTCGTCCCCAGCCATGGGACGAGGCTTCTCCCATCAGCTCCTGTCCTGGGCTCCAGGCCGCGGCCAGGCCAGACACTTCCTACACTTGGGGAGGGTGCCGCTGGTGATGCCAAAGAGTCCAGAACCACTCGCCTCCTCGTTCAGCCTAGAAAGGAGTCGTCCGTAGGTCCTAAAATAGGGAGGACCCACTTGAGCAGCCCCGCGAGTCAGTCCCTGGGGGTGGCCCAGCTCCTGACCTCTGCAGCGTCCCCACCCACTCTCCCCCGCCCTCTGCTCCTTCCCGCTCTCCTGGTCAGCTTGGGCCCAGGACTGAGGAAGTCAGTCTCCCTTGCTTCTCTGGCCAGAGGAAAGAAGCCAAGGGGTTGCAAAATAGCCCTCAGGCTCTTGGGCAAGAAGGCAAAACAAAACAAAACAAAACACAAAACTCAGCGAGATCAATGTCTTATCCAGAGGCGTGTCATTGTTCAAGTCAAGACAGACAGCCTGGCCTCGTCACCTGCTGAGCCCTGGGAACCAACCTGCCCAGACAGGTGGTTTGATGGGGGCCCTGGAGCTCCTGGCCTGAGCTGGAGATGCGGTCCTCCCCTCTGGAAGCCACAGGAGAGAAGAGCTTGCAGGATGGCATCCCGCCAAGGAGCACTCAGACTGTTTCCAGAGCGGCCTGTGGCCACACAGGGCAGAGGAAATGAATTCAAACACCAAGCGGACGAATCGCCAAGTCCCTTCGCCGGCTGGTTCAGGCAGAAGCTCTCTTCCCGGCGGCCCAGGGTACACCCTTTGAGACACTTGTGGAAGGGCCACCATGGGACCGTCCCTCCAAAGTTGGAGGACCAGACAGGAGCTTACAGAGCAGGGTGGGTGCTGGACGATCACCAGGGCCCAGAGGGAGCCTCCTGGCGGGGAGCCTGCCTCCCAGAGCCCGAAGGAGGCGACACTCACACTGACTCTTATGGAAGCAGAGAAATGGCCTGGGTAGATGACAGGAACGAGGCCCCACTGCGGTTCCTGCCCTGAAGGGGCCTGGGACCAGTGGGCCAGGCAGGCACACCCAGTTGGCAGTGATAATCCGGGGAAGACCACAAAGCACTTTAGTTTACTGAGTTACTTCACGTGCCTTTATTCTGTGACTTAGATCAGAAAATGAAGTTCAGAGAAGTGAAGTGACTTACCCCAGAACACACAGCAAGGAGCTCTGATTCCACATTCCCAGCCTGGACTGGGTCTTTCGGTAGCTTCTGCCGCACCACCGCTCCCACTCCCAGAGGCAGAACCTTGGTGAAAACAAGGCCTCTCTTAGCTTGACAGGTGTAGAACCTGTTTTTGTTTGTTTGTTTGTTGTTTGGTTGTTTCCAGGTCACCAGAGTTGGTTAATATTTGAAGGTCCAGCTCATGCCAACCAAACGCACAGGAGGTGGTTGGGCAAACAGAAAGCCAGTGTGTTCGATTACAGGGAGTGCGGGCTTGTCATTAAGGCTGGTGCTGGGAATTCGCTGGAAGCACCCATTTCCTCCTGGTGATGCCCACGGATGCGAGCCGGAGCAGAGGGAGCCAGCCCATCCTGAAGGCCTTCTCGCTCCACCAGACTTACGCGAGGGCTGCGTGATGCTCTGGGAAGGCTCAAGGAAATGTGGCTCAGGAGCGACCTGGATTGGAATCTCAGCTCTGCCGGTTTCTGACCATGTGTTCCTGGCAGGTTGCTTAAGGCTCAGCTCTTCATCTTCGAGAGGGGAATAATCACAGGACGACCACCCAGAATCGCTGGGAGGAGGGAGAGAGGAAACGTGAAGGAAGACCCAGAACAAGTGGTAGCTCTTGTTATTTAGGGTGGCTGGGCCACTTCCCTGTCCCTGCAGAAGTTGTGTGCACAGCAGCTGTCCCCTACAAGCAGAGCTTCCTCGCCCCAGGCAGCGCTGGGTCCGCTCACAAAGTCCTGCTCTCCCCCGAGCCTTTCCCACCTGGCGTCTCTCCAGACAGGCAGCAGCCTGCACAGGTCGCCGGGCTCCTCTACCCAGTGACAGTCTCCTGCTGGTGCTCGCCGCTCAGCTTGACGGAGCAGTCTCTATTCTTCAAGGGTGCCTGAAGACACTTGTACCTCCCTTATGGGGTCGTCATCCAAGAACGCAGGCTTCCAAGCCCAGGACCTGGCTGACACGACCCCGTGTGAGCCTCCCCTTATGGGATCCAGGTTCCTCACCTGTCAGCTGCGGGGATTAGACTCAGAATGTATCAGACACCTTGCCCAGCCTGCAGGGCGCTTAGTAAGTGGTAACTGTCTTGTTATTACGACAGGGCTGCGGGTTTTACAGGCTCCAGGTTCGGAGCTCCTGTCTGTATAACTATGCTGTGACTCGGGGGTACTGATGACAAGACCTTGTAAACGGATTGCTGTTAGAGCTCACGGGCAGGAAAGAGCAACTTCGCAAACAGGATGCTAGGGGAGCTTTCCTGTGGCCATTTGAGCCGGCTCTGCTCATGCCTGTCGCCTCCCGGGTCCTCCCGGCATCAGCGTCCGGATGGTTCTCATCCCTCTTTCTGAGCGTCCACTCGGCGGAACACAGCGTGGGATCTGAGGAAAAGGGAGAGGGAGGGCACCCCCTGCGGGCATCTGGAGGTTGGGGTGAGTGGGTGAAGAGGATGTGGGTAGTCTGGCTGGGCAGGGAGACTAGCATCTTTCTTAAGAGCCTTTCTTCTCCCCGATGGCCCCCTCCCTGCCTCTACCCCCACCTCACACTCTCTGTACACAAACCCCTGAGGGAGGCAGGCAGTCCCCAAACAGGTCTTCTCAGGGACACCCACTTCAGGCACACCCTCCAAGAAGGCACACTCAAGCCTGCTCCCGTCCAGGCTGTGGTTTGGACCCTGTCTGGGCGGGGAGGGGAGCACATGCTGGCCTAGATCAGACAGGACATCAATGTTTCTATGTGTCTGGGTTGCACACAGCATCTTACAAAGTTCTGTCAGAGCCGTCCCCTCAGTCCCTGCTCAGAGCAGTCCCCAGAGGCAAGCAGAGTAGATGTTGGGGGGTTTTTTTGGTTTGTTTTTCCGCATTTCAGAGACTTTAATTAATAGTCCCTAAACCACAAGAGTCAAAAGGGGTTTTTTGAAAAGTACTAAATATATAATGACATATCTTGAGCATTTAATTAAAATTCTATCAAATTCTAGACTGTGTTCAACCGCCTCCATTTCCTAAGGCTGTGAGTCTCACCACCTCAGCGCTGTGAGGTGCAGCGCTCTGGCTTGGGGGAAGGGGACTCTGTACACACTGTGGTGTAGACCCTGCCCTTGAACATTTGGGTAACAAAGATTTGCCCTACACCAACCTCCACATAGAGGCAACTGTGTTCCAACCCCCAAGCCAATGTAAACAAAGGAGTTGGAATTTAAACTTAGTGTTAAAGTGAACGGTCCTGTTCAGCTAGTGAAGCCACATCCTTGAGCAAAAGTTCTCATTCCACTGTAGCAGCCCCTCCCTGATGCTGGGAATGTAAAGAAGCAGCAAAGAAGTGTGGTTAGAGGCAGGGGTTGCAGAGCCCGACTGCGTGGGTCCAAACCCTGGGTAGGAGAGTGGCTTGGGGCACCTCCCTCTGTCTCAGCTTCACCTTCTGTAAAATGGGAGAGCAGAGTTTTTAACATTCTAATTTTAATTTTTTATTGAGGTGCCACTGACATATAACCTGCTAGTTTCAGGTGTACAACATAATGACTTGGCATCTGTATACGCTGTGAACCACCACCACGTCCTTCACCATACATAGTTACAACAAATGTTTTTCTCTGTGGGGAGGGTACAGGTCAGAGGTAGAGTGTGTGCTTAGCATGCATGAGGTACCAGGTTCAATCCCCAGTACCTCCACTGAAAGAAAAAAAATTTTTTTAATGTTTTTCTTGTGATGAGAACACAAGATCTACTCTCTTAGCAACTTTCAAATATGCAATACGGTATTAGTATCTGTAGTCAGCATGCCATGCATCACATCCCCATGGCTTATTTATTTTATAACTCGAAGTTTTTACACCCATTTTGCCCACCCCCCACGCCTACCTCTGGCAAACACCGATCTGTTCCCCGTGTCTATGAGCTTGGGTTTTGGTTGTTGTTCTGTTTTTTTTAGATTCCACATATACGCGAGATAACACGGGAGCAGATGTTTTTATTCCCATTTTACAGATGAGACTGTAGAGGAAAGGGATTGTATCCCTCACTCTATAAAGTCATGCGGAGGACAGGACTCAGCTGTCCCCCTGCTGGCCCCTGACGCCCTGCATGGCTAAGGAGGGTGGCCTGGCTGACACAGGCCAAGCCCTAGTGCCGCAGAGGGCAGGCAGGTGGCCAGCCCCGTCCCCCCCAGGACCTGGGCGCTGGGACAGGGCTCAGCCTCAGGAAGAGCTGGCAGAAACCTGGGTTCCCCCTTGGCCTGGAGCAGAGGGGGTCAGTAGGCCTTGGGGAGGAAACTTCACACTGCGAGAATCCCTGGGAGTCGGTTTTCCCTGTTTCACTGTCCCTCTGGGTTTTTGTTTTTCTCCAGGGCTGACAAGAAGTGGGAGAACCTGACACAAATTTCTGAGCTGGGGATGCAGAGGGGGTACTGGGCCGGACTCCACCACGTATCAACATGAATTCTGTGTATCAGTTTTAGCAGGTCTGCCCTAGCTGGGGCCTTGAAGATCGTCACGGTTAAAAACATTGGTTGCCCTGTTGTCTCTGTCTCTGTCTGTCTGTCTCTGTCCCTGCTTCCTGTGTCTGTCTGTCTTTGTCTCTCTCCATAATATATAAATATACATCTGTGTGGCTATCTGTATGTATATACTTATATACATATGTGTATATACACATATACATGAGTGTACATATTTCTCTGCCTCTGTCTCTCTCCACTAATCTGACTTGAAGGATCTAGGAGGTGGATGGGACAAGGGTCTTCTCTTATATTCGCTGTCTCTGACCAGGATGGTCCTTGAGCCATTGGATGTAGGTCAGGCTTTCAAACAAGCTCCCACTTCTCACCCCTGGGGAGTCAGTCCACACTCAGCTTGGATCTAACAGCCTCCATATTTCCTCCTTTGTCCAAACTGACATCCTTCGTGCTGGAGTTCAGATGCTCACGTTAGTGTCCTAGGGGAATGGTGATAAGACAAAGGTCAGACCCTGGCCCTGCCAGCTGGGCAGCGAAATTTGGTGCTTTACGGGACTAAGCCTTGCCAGGAAGAGGCAAGAAGGCAGCAGAGCCAGCTCAGGGGGTGTGGCAGGATGCTGTCATGACTCTGAGACTCTAGCCAAGTGCTGTGTTTATTTATAGACACACACACAGAGACACGCACACATGGGAAAGCACTGTTTGTTTTCTGGAAATGTGTGCCCGTTTTCACAGTCTGACCAGAATTCCCGGGTAGTATCATCCTGAAATAGACAAAACAATGTCTTCTCTTGTCTGGCATCCACCTGCTGCATACAGAGAGAGAGATCTCTGGAAAACAAATCTGATTTGGAAAACGGCAGTGATGTCCCCTTATCTTTGGGGTAAACGCTTGCTCAGGTGCGCCCGCCCAGTAACTGCTCCAGCTCATCTCTGGCTTCCCAGGCCTCCCTGGATCCTTCCCAAAGCAAAGCACTGTACGTGCACCAGGCCCCTGCAGAGTTCAGCCCACACATCACCTCCTCTGGGGTGTCTCTTCTCACGTCTGCCCAGTGGGCACGGTTACCCGGTCCTCTGAGGGCTTAGGACTCTGCATGCTTGTCTCGCTGTTGTTATTTCGACTCACGTCTGTGTCCTTCTTCAAACCATATGTTCTCCAAGGTCAAGAACTGTCTCACTCCTCTTTTCATCCCAAACATCTAAGCCAGTGCCTGATGCGGAGCAGATGTGCACTGGAGAGTCGTTGAATGAATGGATGAGATTTTTAGAGTGTAGCTGCCAAGAGCTGAGGGTCTGCTTTTGTCTATCAGCAAATCCTGCAGGCTCTTCCTTTAAAATACCCAGCCACTTATGGCGTCAGTGCAGGTAAGAGGAGTTTGCAGCATCTGGGCGGACTCCGGAGCACCCCTCTCCCCAGGAAACAGGCATTTCCTGGGGGCGGTGTCTGGGGCCCTGGGGCACCTGGGCTCGCTCCAAAGCACCCCGGTGGCCTGTCCCTTCCCAGCCTCAGGGCACTGGGGAGGGCTGAGAGGCAGGTGAGAGGAGCGGGGGTCTCTGTCGAAGCGGACACCAGCAGGCCGGGAAGTCGGGGGATAAAGAATGCAAAGGTGAGGACAGGGCGAAGTTTGGTGTTGGCCCAGTGGCAGTGGTCTCGGAATCCCCTCCAGCTCACCCGACAGCTGCCTGCCGCTGGCCTGCACCCCACCCCTCCCGGCTCCAGGGGTGCCTTTGCCTCCGCGGTCCCCGGGCGGAAACAGCTGCTCTGGCTGTAGGGGCGCCCTGAGAGGGGCTGAGTGTGGGGGAGATGGAAAGGTGGTCCCCAAGCAGGCGGCTGGCTGCAAAGGCACTTTGTGGCCTCCACTCAGGCCTCCCACGACCAGCCTCCCTGACTCCTCGGCTCCTTGGTTCTCCTTTTGACTCTTAGTCCTTTACCCCATGGGTACCTTCCTCCATCAGCCTTCGCGCTCTCAATGAACATAACATCCAGCAGCCCATTTTCTCACTCTCCCTGAAGCTGCCCTTCGCCCGTCAACATCATTTGCCATCTAACATGCAGTCTCCCTGAGAGACAAAAGTTATCAGTCCCCTGTACCTCCCAGGATAGCTCACCCTCAAATCTTTTTTTTCCTACGGTGCCCCACCCTTGCGGTCACGGTAAGGCTACAGCCCTCTACCCTCCTTTCCCAGATCTTCAGGAGAAACTTAGTTTGGTGGGAGGTGTTTGTTAACCCGTGTTATATATACCTGACTTGACAATGCGTGGTTTTCTGGTTTTCCAACTTAATATACTCCTTTTTTTCGAATTAAAACAAAACAAAACAAAACCCAGCTGCTTCGTATCTTCTGTTAACAGCTCAATCCAAACTCTCATTTCCCACGGACATATTTTGGTAGCCTCCTGCTTGCTCTCTCTGCCTCCAACCTTGTTGCGCTTCATCCATTTTCAACGCTGCTGCCAGAGGCAATCCCTTAAAAACAAGTCAAATCAGGTCAGTCCTCTTCCACAACTCCCCTCCGCTTCCCTACCTCACTGAGGGGGAAAAGAGCAAGTCCTCATCATGGCTGACAAGG